TAGTAACTGTGATTTGTCGTTTTTTAAATTATTTAATAGTGATCACTATGGTCTAATGTTTAGAATGTCAAAATATGTTCTCTTTTATTTTAATTTTGAAAGTTTTACTCAGACGATCGATGAAATAAAACAGTGTAGTGACGTGCCTAGTAACCTGCTAAATAACGAGATAATTCCGACGTCAAATTCTATTTTGTCCAGCGACAGTGTACAAACGTGCGCCGCTGACGATCACGGTGACCAGCTACACCAGAACGAACATATTTCGCATCTAACTCAACCCCGTGCAACAACAATTGATACTATGTGTTAATTATGGTCCGTTCCTCCTCGACGAATAAGTACATAAGTGAAAATTTAGTCAAAGACGAGAAAACTGCACAAGAAATTTGCCTTATTTACACGTATCGGCAATGCAAGCTGCCATGCGACTTCCCCTTCTGACGTCACAAGGGGAATTTCTGTATGCAAATAAGAAGCTAATGAGAAGCCTCGTTTTAAAATACACAAAAATAAAGTTGCCGTAGATTGAGTTTAAAACACATTTTTTCACTTAAAAAATAATTCATGCTTAGAAACATAAAAAAATAATAATATTTATGTATCAATGGATAATTTTAGGCGTGAAAATAGCAGCCATTTCACAGGCACTTTAAGACACGCTGTTACTTGTGGCGTTACGGTGACAGATGTATAATAATAATATTTATAATATAATAATATGTTTATTCAACCTTTGTATAACAGTAATACATATCTTTAGATTACATTTATCATTTCTTTTCTATATTGCCATAAATCAGTTACATATTTCCTAATTAAAGCTGATGAGATATTATCATTATAATTACACGTGAAGGAAAGAAGCAGAGACTTATTGGTAATTGATGTTACGAGAAGGCTTTTCTAACCAATGAAAACGTCTCCTGATTTGAATTTAGCGCAAGGGTCTTCAGGGTAAATGTTTTATTTATTTCCATATTAATTGGTTCGTCCCTAACATTTCTGATCATTTCCCTCGCAGTCGTGCTATAGAGGGCGCATGTTTTGGTGCATATCGTCGTACAAAGACATAACAAACAAACAACCGTGGTTGATACGGGCAGTGGTACAGGGGGTGTACACGTTAAACAATACAGTTTGCGGTTCATGTCGTATTTCTTCCTAGATTTTGAAAGTACGACTATAAAAAAATGTTAGGTAGTATATTATTTAGTTATTTACTTCAAACAAATATTGAATTCATTATTTACCAGTAAAATGTTAGAAATGTTAACAGGTATCTTTGTTACAAACGTGGTTCCCCCTGAAATGGGTATCCCTGACCTCGCCTCGATGTAGCGATCACAAGACAAAACACTGAGAACGCTATATAGGTTTACTTGGTGTTGAATTGTTCCAGCACGATAGCTCTGTTTATTTTTCCGGTAAGCAGAGATTTAAAACAACAAGAACAGGTAAATATTCCCTCTTCTCGACTCAATAATGACGACAGCAATGGGAGATCTACCGCTAGCGAGACGTTACCTACCAAAAAGTCTTGGAGACAAAATTGCACTTGCATTCACTGTAATTATGCTGCTAATCGTCGCACTCTTTGAACTGTTTATAATATTACCAGACATATTCCCAAATTACGGTACTTTGTACAACGTGTATGTCTGTATCGGTTTGTTCTTGTATCTGAACTGCATGGGCAACTTGATCATGATGACGCGAATTGACGTCACATCGGGGACCACCGTCCTACCGGCGATTTTGAAAACCGGCTGGAGGTACTGCCACGTTTGTATGCAGAACTCGCCGCCTCGGTCATTTCACTGTTTCAACTGCGACTCTTGTATATTGAAGCGTGACCACCACTGTGTCTTTGCCGGAAAATGCGTCGGATACTACAACCATCGCTTTTATCTTGTCACCCTGCTGTATTTATTTTTGGGTTCATTATTTGCAAACTTTTTAAACTTCGATCACGCCTGGGCGTTGTTGGGAGGCGCCAACTGGAAATCGCTCATTACTATGATCGTTCCGTTCGTAGCCTGGATTTTCGGTTTTACTGAGCGTTATACCTTCATGCTGTCATTCTTATGCGGGACCTGCATCGTGGCTTGCGCCCTCATCGGTGTGATGTGTTATTACTATACCTCGCTAATGCTACACGGTCAAACAACTCACGAAAACGGCACAAGATGTAAAGATTACGACCTGGGTTGGAAACAAAACTTGAAAGATGCTCTTGGTGAACGGTGGTATTTGGTGTGGCTGTGTCCATTTATATCGTCACATTTGCCTGGAAACGGTCTAGAATTCAAGAAAGGGAGAACTATGGAGGACATTAAGGACATGTAAAAACATCTCAGTATTGCTGATGTTAAGCTTGACTGTGCTCCACATTGCTGTATTTGCTCTATTATTTAGTGCATGTACTAAAAAATTTTCACATATTCAGAATCGTTGGTACTTTGATCACATGTATCACGCCATGGTAACCAGGTTACAGCATACTGTAGAACACGTTGAAATAGCTGCGTGCAATTTTAGCGGATTTGAATCTTGGCATGAATTAACAGAATCTTAATTTAGCTAAAAGTGTCGACTATCTCATTGTGAGAATAGACTTTCTGTTAAATTAGCTACATCTTGAATTAGCGAAATTACAGATTAGCTAAATTAGCTAAAATAACATGCTAGCTAAAAAGACGTGTTTTACAGTATAACCACAAACCCTTTAGAATGCCTTTTGACCAATTCTAGATTGCTGTTGTACAAGTAATTCTATTAGAGATGTGCTTGTATAGAGCAAATACATTACTGTAAAAGTTAGTAATATTCATAGGGTGTAAATTTCTCTATATTTATGCTTAATCCCAGAGTATATGCTGGCTGATTTTGTCAAAAAAGTCAGAAATATCATCGCTCATGAATGATGTCATAATTTGAATAAGTATCGCGACTACATTTGATTTAGACAAAAAAAAATCGAAACAGACAGGGTGAGAGACATTTTGATAACTTTTATGGTATTCAAGAAACAGAATTCAGGAGATTTGCATCAAATCACTGAAAAGCTATAATGGAGTGGCGTGACATACCGGTAGTTTGATTGTTATTACTTGCACTGTGCACTGTTTCACATATTGAGCAATGTTCCGAAAACCTGTTCTATTTTTAGTAACTCACTCCAATTCTATTTAAAACTGTTCATATCACCAATTGCACCATGGGATGTCAATATTGTTTACTTTTTTTAACCTGTTTATTTTGTTTTCCATTGTAGTTTAAAGCGAGAGGGTCGTCACCTGCGCACACACAGGAATTGAGTTCCAAGCGATGATAACATCACACGCTAAGAACGCAAAGCCTTATGGGTAGACGCTTGTTTGTAAACAATGACATGCTATGGCCGCCTTACACATGCGTAGGTGATGACTCCCCCGCTTTCAGATTTGTTTAGAGGTTAGTTATTTGAAATTGGCAGGGAGCTGGAGGAACTTGTTTTTCACAAATATTTTGTATTTTATGTACATTCATGTCTGATGAACATTTTTGTATTCACATTTTTCAAATTTCGCAGTATGCAGAAGTTGTGAAATATTTCTTTTTTTTTCCCTCGATATTTTATTTTTATTTAAACCTTCAGTCTACCCCCAGTTCCAATGAGGAACACATCAGTAAATTTGTTGTGAAATTAGGGTTAGAGCAAGATTTCTTTTTAACTTAGCGTTTAATTCAACAAAATAATCAAATCAAAACATAGTGACTTATTGAGGCTTTTGTAGTAGAAATTTATTTAACCTCTTAGAATTGTATTTAGTTTCTAAACTTTTAAATTTAGTTTTAGCTGACTACACTGGTAGTCTGATGAGCTACTGTGAAATACTTTATTTTAGCTGGAATTAATTTTCGCTGAAGAGACTTTTTCGACGTTTTGTGAAGAATTTATTTTCACTGATTTTTGACTAGTTGGAAAATGTAGGAAAAAAGCTATGTTCGCTGGATTCATTCCTTCAGTAAAAATCTATTCCAAGTGAAAATAAAAATCGAGTAGTGCGCCCTCATACAAATTTTCTGTGACACAACTAGTTGTACTAATTCACTGGTGCATCATTGACGCTAAAGGAAATCATACATTGATATGGTGATCTTGAAAAATCATCTTACTATAGTTATTGATTTTGTAATTTTGAAATTCACATTTTATAATTCATATTTTAAGTTAGGGAAAGTATGAAAAAAATCAAGAGCAACAACATTTTTGTTTGTGCCTCAAGTTACCTATACAGTTACATAGATTTTTATTTTTTTCTTGGACACTGACCTTTCTAAGCTGACTCAACTTGATTTTCTATTTTCATTTAGAACTCCTACAAAATCAGTCTTGTTAGAGGGCATTGTATTATGATTAAAAATATGTGTGGGTAAAATGTGAAAAATGCACTGTACTACCAGTATTTGTCTAAATTAGTGTATAAATGTAACTGTTTATTGTAGATTTCAGTCAAAATTGATCTTTCTTCAAAACTACACAAGTATGCTTTAAAGGGAGTTAAGTAGCAAAAATAACTGCTTTGAAAAGGATACATGTAAAGCATTATTTCATTTTTATAATCCAGGTCTGAAAATAATTCAAGGCAAGAGGCTTTTTTGAGTCTTATTTATGTAAATAGACTTGATCCATTATTTATGCTGTTTTTTAGATTATTACTATTTTTATGGTAATAAATCTGTACCGGTATTATAAGCTGCATCCCTAATAAAAGTCGCTTTTGTACAATTGAAAACCATTAATTTCTCTTATGTTTAATTGCTCTATTAGAAGAAGCTGCCTTCTTTTCTGTTGTATTGCATCGCTTTAATATAAGCCGCGGTTTCTAATACAGATTTTACAGTAACAGTAGTTATTCATTGCACAGGGCTAGTGCTAAAATGAGCCATGATAACAAAATGCTAATGAAATAACTACCGGTAGTAGGTTGTGGCTCAGAAGTTTAGTCATAGTATTCACAGTGTTCTCTTCTTAATTCTTGTTGATCCCACCGGAACATAAGGTTAACACAAGATCCCTCCACTCAACACGGTTCTTTTGAGTAGGTCCGAGGTGGATATTCGGCAGGGCCAGAAAACTTAGCAGATGCGCCTGAGGCAGTTACATGTATGGTGAAAACTTGATAGCGTTTTCATGTCAACCTTGGTGACCTCCAGCTTTCGCTCCCATACAGTAAAATGGATTTTACATTCCTGTTATAAATTTTGTCTTTAGTGCTGATGTTATACTGGCTGCAGATCAGTGTTCTCAGCAGGAATTAAATACATGGGATAGAATTTTTCCATCAGTTTAGAAAATTTGAGACGTGTGGAACTAAGTATTTTGTTCCCTGATAGTGGAGACAGTGTACTCAAATGTTTATGTTTGAATTTTATTCTACAATTATAAATTGTCACTTGTATTTTCTTACATTTTTGTGAGACAATTTGTCTGTAAAAAAAAATACCTTGGACAAAAAATTAATCAATGAGGCAAATGTTGCAGGTCTGGTTAGAACACAGGTTCTTTGATCCCCCCCCCCAAAAAAAGGTGAAATTCATTGATGTTTTGCGATTAAAACTGATCTGGAAAATCTCCCCATTAGTCTCCCTTGCAATGAAATAATATTTCTTGAAACATTGCCAGTGGCATTAGTTCAAGCCAAATTCAAATTTTGCACTACTGAGCATATGACTGCACATATTATGCAAAGCATCATGGGTGATAACCACCTATTGTATATCCTTGAAAACTATTATCACCCTAGAAACTTGCTAAATTATGTAATTTTTTTTTGTAATGATTACAGAATTAGTGTCAATAATAATATGCAACTTTTTCATACCATGTCACCAAGAAAAAATTTCAGATATGAAAAAATAATCTGACCTTAGAAATGCCAATTTTGATTATTTAATAGAGACAAGTGTGTTGATACGTTTTGCCACTGATGCAAACAAATTTGCTTGGACGCAACAAGTTTTGCCAATTCACTGGCGCATCATTGATGCAATAGAAAATCTCACAGGATCTCCATAAAATCAGTCCCATTTGATTGCACACTGAGAGAGACAGTTTTTGTCACTCAATGTAATACACCAGTGAAATGGACACGGCAACAAAATATTAAGAATGTTTACCATAATGGAAGTATTAATCTTCCATCTTGCATTTTGCTTTTTAGCTGATGATTTGTCCAACTTGCTTTTGGTTTGCATTTTCCCATGTGCCAGGAAGACTGAAAACATTAGTTGCATTCATATTTCAGATTCTGAGAAGAAAATCTGAATTGTCAAAGACGTCATTGTAGTCACCTATTTCCTGTAGGGAATTTTAAAATATAAATCGCATGTAATTATTTTTAAGTCTGCCATCATTGGTTGAATCATGTCACATGTCTAATTTTGCACTTGCATCTCATGAATATTGATGACTGACAGTGCCAGCAGTAATGATGCCACATACAGGGGGGGGGGGGGTGTGAGATAAAAACAAAGTAACATCACAGCCTTGTCACTCAAAAAATGGGGCAATTGTATTACAATATTGTGACCTGCAATTGCCGCAGACAATCATAGCTTGTCATTGTTTCCAAATAAGCATGCACCTGCCACAATTACAATGCCAGTACCAGTATATTCTATTTTGGAGTAGGGGTATTGTCCCTTATTCCCGCTATGGATTTTGTGCAAAATTGTTGACAGCACTAACTAAATGCTTTCAAAAATAAGATATTTACCCAAAATATCAATTCATTTGGGGTGCTGGGTTTTGAGCAGCCTGACAAGTTGGCGTAGGTGGCGCCCTGGACTGCTGCGATCCCCACCACTTTCTGAACAAATGTTGAATGCTTTTGGCGCCAGCGAATAAATCGGGCTAATCTGCACTGGCTCGAAAGGTTGTAAATGATTAGCTAGTTTGAATTTGCATAACAATACTGACAATGAACGTGCATTCAACGCCACAAGTTTTTTTGTTTTTTTAGCCAATCAGAATTCATCTTCCGAGCCAGTGCAGATCAGCCGAATAAATCAGTGATTTCCCAAAGCCAGTCGGTAGAATAATCAACGCATCTTCACCCCGATACAGTGACGCAATTCCGCGTTTCTGTTCAGACTTCAACTGGATGTTAAATTTGCTCTCAAGTTCAACAATAGCCTGTTTGATAGAGTTGATGATTACGACGAACAAAGTGAAGTGGCTGTTTGATTAAGTTGAACATTTAACTGGTACGTGTGTCCACGGCAATTTGACGCGTGCTGTCGGCAACCTCACACATGCTTTACAACGAGTTGGTAAACAATGGACAGGAAGACGATCAGAAGTGATAAGTTGTCTCAACAATCGCAACGCTTCGTGAATGGTTAAATTATGACGGATGTCAAAATCAACAGTTTCTGAAATCTGATTGGTGCCGACAAAAAGCTGTCGGAGATAAGAGAAAACTACACTATTCTGTCAGGCGTTGGTGGGGATCGCAGCAGTCCAGGGCGCCACCTACGCCAACTTGTCAGGCTAGGTTTTGAGTTGGATGAAACCGTCCTCTGACTTTTTCTCCATATGAAGTCCTCATAATAGAATGAGTCAGCCTGTCCCTGAATACTTAATTTTAGGTCAGACTTTACATCCCAGAAGAATTCAAGAACGAGGGGTTTATTCTAGAAGCAGATAGACTGTAACAGTCACTGATTGGTAACTTGATTTTGTGACATTTACCCAAATACTGGTCTTTAGCAAGCGTACTGATACATTTGGAGAGCAGCGAAAAATGACTTGAGTGGACATGAATGGTACCACACTGTACCTTGAACTAAACATCCATCATTGGCTTTTGGGCTTTATAATAAATATTCATAAACTGATCATTATTTTACTCCCAGTACAATTACAATATGTGAATAATATATGACGAATCCTGAAACATCCAACCCTTGGGCATTGCTATGTATAATCTGTATGATCCTTACAAGAGTCTGAGGGTGCTATATCACATTCTGCATGATCCCTGCAATAGTCCTAGGGCGCTATATCACATTCATACACATGTCACTTGTGGAAAAACATTAACTAAATTCTTAATACAAGTTTTATTTCAACAATTAAAGAGAACATATAAAGCTAAACAAAGATACAGATGAGATCACACTAAGACCAATCATCAGATACTGTAAACCACTTTATTTTCGCCTTGCATTAGTTTTCGCTAAAGGATTGATTCAGTGAAAATACAATCCAGCGAATAAACTTTTTTTCGTATATTTTGCATTTAACTTGTGAAAATAGAAATCCATACAAAACACCCAAAAAGTCTTTCCAGCGAAAATTAATTCAAGCTAAAATAAAGTATTTCAGTTTTGGTGTTAAGTGACTTAAAAGAATGTACCTGATTGGCTACACAACTCTAGTATCTAACAGCTAAGCCAATCATAAAGCTTCATTTACAAAAGCCTGATTAGTCATATTAGAACAAAATTATCAAAACAAAAACCATACTGCACATTACAGTTGAATAATACCAAATGGTGACCAAGATTCAACACACTTTGAAACAAGTCTTATAACTGGTTGAAAAATAAATTCTCCAGTAAACTGCAATTTCTCAGCCAATCAAAGTGATGTTACCAAAATAGACACTATTGGCTCACTACATAAAAAGGGTTATTTTTTTCCCTGATGATGAACTTAAGAGGTTGCTTTCAAGATAACATCACTAAGGTTACTTCAAATATAGCCGATGGTACCCATCAGCTTCTAAAAACACAAATGCATTTCATATCAACAATTAAAAGGCGGTGGTGATCACGCCGCGCATGTGCGACATTATATGTTGATAACCATTCCAAAACAATGAGCTACTTTAATGAAATCACAAGTTTTGACCTGTGTGCGACATGCACTAATTAGCACTGGCGACTCTTTCCAATCGCCAAAATAATTACCTAATTAAAGCTAGGTAATGTCTTAGTTAGTATTACCGGTAGTTGGTGTGCGCAATTGTCAAAGTCGCCATCTTTGATTATACATATGCGTGGCACAATGACCACTGCCTTTCAAACAACAAATGAATACAGTTGTAATTTTTTACTGAAGCTAGCATAATTGAGAATTCCTTTTCTTTCTTAAGTACTAAAATACTAAGTTGTCAGTACAGTATGCATCAGTATTGATACACAATTTAAGAGACATACCCATTTGAAACTGGGGGGAGGGGTGGAAGATGTGGTGCTGATTGATAATGTTAGAATTAAGCTGAATACCAACTTCTCAAGCTAACCTTCGCCTTGTCTGCCAGGTTTGGCAATCTTTTACACTATAGCAACATTATCTTGAGAGAATAAGTCGTTTCCTATGTTGTTATGTTTAAAGTGAATTACAAAACGCCATGTACATTGAAAGCAAGTCTTCCAAGAAAGTATATTACATAAAGCCAAACAAATAATGGCTGCCGCCTTCTAATGAAATCGTAAGTTCAGTGATCTTATGATTTCATTTTTGTAGTGACAAGATTGTTGATTGGCACTCCGGTGGAAATTACAAAATGCTGAAAGGTATGGTTGTGGCCATAATACTGTGAACTTGATTACAATCTGGAGACAAAATATTTTGTATACCGGGTAATGCTTTTAATACGGAAAAGACAATGTTGTTTTAGAAGGGTTATCAATTCAAAGATGCCACTGTAAATGCATTAATTATTTCACTGGGTTTTAATTTCGAAATAAAATGAAATCTATGTGAACATTAAAATTAAACTCATTTTTAATACTGTAAAATACTTTATTTTAGCTGGAATTTATTTTTGTTGAAAAGACTTTTTGGTGGTTTTGTATGGCGTTTATTTTCAATGATTTTCGATGAATTTGAATGTAAAATACAGGGGGGGGGGGGAAGGTATATTTGCTGGATTTTATTTTCACTGAATTATCCCTTCAGCAAAAATAAATTCCAAGTGAAAATAAAGTATTTTACAATATGTGAATTTCAAACCCAATAAATATCAAACGAGTTAACTTTGAAATTTAAAGTGAAATTTAATGCCTTTACAGTATTCTAAATATGAAATTTGAACATACTTTGGTATGTCACACGAATTCATAATGGTCAAGTTGTTTTTCAAATTCCATGTGCACATATTTTTT